TCCATGGCGTATGTGTGTGGTGTTTGTTGTATGTGTGTTATGTATGCAGTGTGAGTGTCGCATATCTTCATGTGTTGCATGTGGGCATGTTGTTGATGTGGTATGTGTGCAGGGTGTGTGGAGTCTGTGTGTGCTGCATGTGCAGTGTTACCTGGTGTGTGGGTTCAGGTTGTGTGTGTGACACATATGTGGTGTGTGCATCCTAATAGTTCTATGTGTGCGTGTAGTGCGTGTGTATGATACATGTGTTGTGCATGAATAGTGTAGCTATGTTGTGTTTGGGGCATGTATCCTCTTGTGAGTTTTGCGTATGTGTGGTGTGAGTGGTGTTTGTGTAGTGTATGTTTGTGTGTGGAATATGTGTAGTGTGTCTGTGGTGACTGTGTGAGGGCTGTGTTTTGTGGCAGTCTTTGTGTAATATGCACATTGCCTGTGTGTGGTGTATGTGTAGGTTGTGTGTGGGGTAAATGTGTGGTCCGTGTGCGGAGTGTGTAATATATATCTCGTGTGTGTGTTATCTGTGTGGTGTACATTTGGCCTGTGTGTGTTCTGTGTCATGTGTGTGTACATTGAGTGTGGCATATGCATGATAATAGTGGTTGTCTCCATGGTATGTATTTGATTTGTGTTTCGTGGGGTTGTTTCTGGTATTTCTGGTTTGTGTTGTGTGTATGGTATGTACAGCCTGTGGTTTCTTTGCTGTAGATGTTGTGTCTCTGATGTGTGCGTGAGTGGTGTGTTTATGGTGTTTTTGTCAAGTGTGGGTTGTGTTGGGTGCATAGTTATTTTATATGTTGGGGGTTGTGTAGTGCATGTGTCATGTATGTGCTTGGAGTGTGTGTGTGTGTGTGTGTGTGTGTGTGTGTGTGTGTGTGGAGTCTATGTGTGGTCTGTGAAGGGTATATGGGTGGTGTATGGGGTATATGGGTGGTGTGGCAGTGCTGTATGAGTTGTGTGTTGATTTGCATGTGGAAGATTGTGTGTGTGTGTGTGTGGGTGTGGGTGTGTGAATGTTATAAGTACCTGGTTATTGTGTGGGGAATGTGGGGTGTGTTTGTGGTATCTCTGGATAGTGTGTGTTGTACTTGAAGTGTGTTTGTGTGTGTACTTGTGGTATATGTGTATTGTATGTGTGGTAAAGGTGTGATATGTGCTGCGTGTGTGGTATATGTGTGGATTGTTGTAGTATAGATGTAGTCTGTATATTTGGTATATTTGTGATGCATGTTGTGTGAAGGCAGACTATGTGGTGCGTGTGCAGGATACACATGAAGTAACAGTTCCTTTTGTGTTGTGAGTATGCAGAATGTGTGTGTGAAATATAGGTGCGGTGTATATGTGATGTGTGTGCTGTGTTGCGGTATATGTATGGCATGTGCAGTGTGTGGTATGGATTTGTTCAGTTTATTTGGTGTGTTTTACTTGTGGAGTGAGTGTTCTGTATGTGTGGTTATTGTGTGATGCATGTGTGGTATATCTATGTGATATCTTGTTTGGTAAATGTGTGGCGTGTCGGTGTATGGTTATATGTGTGGTGTGTGTGGCGTCTGTTTAAAGTGGTTGTGATTTAAGTGTTTTTCTGTGTTTTATATGTATGATATGTGTGGCATATGTGTGGTGTGTGTGTATTCGTGTGGTATTCGTGTGGTGCGTGTGGAGTGTGCATGGTGTATCAGTGCTATATAAGAGGTTTATGTGTGTTCATGTGTGCTGTATGTATGGGATGTGAGTTGTGATGGTGGTGTATCTCTGGTGTGTTTACTCTCCATGTGCAGTGTGTGTTTATTTGGTGTTTGTGTGACATGCGTGCTGTGTGTGGTATTTGTGTGGTGTTTGTGTTGTGTATGTGTGCCATGCATATGTGGGGTGCATGTGTGTGTGTTACGTATGGTGTGTGGATATGTGTGGTGTTGATATTTGTTTTGCAGATTTGCTGGTGTGCATTTGTGTGTGTATTTGTTGTGAGTTATATATCATGTGAATGTTTGGCATATATGTGGTACATGTGTTATATATGTGCTATTTGCAATATTTGTGGTGTATATGTGTCATGATTGGTGAGGGTGTGCTATTTTGTGTAGTATGTATGTGGTATATATTGGTGTGTTTCTAGTATATGTATGGTATGCCTGTGTGTTCAGTATGTGTGGTGTGTATTAGCAAGAGTGTGTGTACTATATGTATGTGTATATGTGATGGAAGTTTGATATGCAGGGTATGTGTGCATGTGTGTGGTATATATGTGATGTATATGCGGTATGTGTCTGGTGTGGGTGCGGTGAACGTGTGTTTCTGTGTGACATGTATGAGCTGGGCAGTGCATGTGGTGTGTATGTATGTATGTGTGTGTGTGTGCGTGTGTGTGTGTGAGTGTGGTAAATAAGGAGTGTCTGTGGTGTGTGTGATGGGGGGGACTTGTGTGGTTATTTTGCTGTCTCTAAAGAATTTCTTCCGGTTTTCCTGAGGGCTCTGACTCTGAGTTTGATGGCCAGTGGATCCATGCCTACATTCCAAATGGAGTAGCAAACTGTTGCAACTGGCAAAATCTTTTTCTTCCTCTTTTCAGTTTTCATTTGAGGAAAACCAGCATTCACCTGATTGGCTATTTCTAGTCTATTTACAGATATGTGAGTTGAGTCTGAACCTGCCCAGGGGGTGTTATGGACTCCATGTTGAGGAGGGCCACAGTCACTTTCCCACACTGAAAAACTTGAAAATCATATCAATAATGGTCTATATCAGAGCCAAGTTACATTTGCTTTATACCAAACAAAACTGTGGAGAACTAAAAGTGCATTGTACAAAATGTATATGGTGTTCTTATATTTCACCTATTCTAGTATGCATGTGACTAGATCCATACTTTCTAGAAAATGCTTCTGTTAAATAATTTAGTGAGTCACTGTTAAATCTGCTATAGTAATAAATTGATGCCTCTTGGCTATTTTTGTCTAAATTAAGCCACCAAGGTAGCAACTACCTAGGACTCTTGTTCTGCAAAAGTACAATAAATATTAAACGTGTCAAAATAAAATAATAAAATTTAAAATAATAAAATGAAATAAAATAAAATAAAAAATAAAATAAAATAAATAAAATAAATAAAATAAAATAAAATGGCTTCCCTTGTATATCAGGCCTTTAGAGAGTTTTTTTTTCTCAGCAGGGTCAACTAGCCTTTCAGTTTTTCTACCTGTTGCTGGCTCCAGCAGCGGCTTCTGAGCCTGGTATACTATGACTCTCTGTATTCACTCTTCTTTCCAGTTTTCAAAGCAGCAATTTGCCCTGTGATTTCAGTTTTCTCATGGATCTGAGAAGAGTTGTTAAATTTTAGTTTATTCAGCTTTTTTTCTTGTGAAGACAGGAGTGATGACTTCCAAACTCCATTGTATCTATTTTAACATGTAATATGTTAATATTAATATTATATTAATTATATATTTTTATTTATATATATTAATATTTAACATGTAATATTTTAAAGTAATATAATAGAAATAATTTCTCCCCCCAAAATGTGTGAATGAATAAACTAGTGTAGTGGTCTACTCCTGAAGGCAGGACCTGCACATAACCTCCCTGGATTGACTAAGTGAACCAGAGAAAAGGAGGTGGAAAATTGAGGAAGGCATTTAGTGACTCATGTTTGTAGTTTTTGATGGGCATTGTGCACGTGTTGCGGGGGGGGGGGGGGCTGAGTGAGGGGTTATTTTAAAGTTTTAAGTAACTTTCATAAAGGGTAGGGGGAACACCGGCTTGCTCAGGTGAAAAAAAACGGAACTCTAGCCACTGGACCATTCGGCAAACAAAGCGGCCACAAGACCAGAGAAAGTTAAATTGTCAGAGACTTCTTCCAACTGGCTCTCTCCAGTCCATTCATGCACTTCATCCTGTGCTCCTCCAGAGACTCAGCTCCAAACCTTGCAGCCCAGCTTCTGGACTGTCTCTGGAGCAGAGGCTGCAAGTGTCTTGATTCCACCCAGCCCCTCCTTCCTCCTGGAGGGTGTCCTTACCCAGAGGTGTGTGGGAGGAGCCAGACAGTGGTCACCCTCCACTGAGATTGACAATAAATTTTGAATATTTTAAATATTATTTAATATTTAAATATAATAGTATTCACTTCTATAATGTATATGGTATCTTCTATAATTAATAAGTTGCTGATAGAGAAAACAGTTACTGATATGGTGAAAATTGACACTTCGTTCAAAATACAGAAAGCTGGGGCCCAGAGCTCCCTGGGCCTCAATTTCTCCAGGTTTAAATAGAGAGAAATGCCCAATTCTATTTGAGGTGTTCCACTGGCAGAAGAAACAAAATTCCAGCCAATTGAAGAAACAAAACAACACCTCTGTTCCCATACCGGGAGTCGAACCCGGGCCGCCTGGGTGAAAACCAGGTATCCTAACCGCTAGACCATATGGGAGTCAGCACCAACCTGCCTCTCATCTTGTACACATCACTTCTATCAATTTGTCATGTGCACCCCCACACAACAGCGGCGCACTACCGGGCTTGCTCCGCCCATGGAGATTCGCTCTGACTGCAGCTCCACCAGCCCCAGTTTCAAGACCCCTTTCTCAAGACTCGGCCTGGGTGGGAACATCCGGGCCTCCTCAGGGGCGGGAACTCCTGGTCCCGGAAATCTAAAGGACTAGAGCCAGGGCAGATTGCCGGGCGTTTCGGTCTTCACAATCCGCGTTTGCAGGCACACCTGAAGCCCAACTCCAAACAATAAACGGTCATTTACTGACATCTAAAATAAAGGACCCCTTCTAGGACCGGAGTTCCACGTTAATATCTTTTCCGTGAAAAGCAAAAACGGATTGTGGTATTTTATTTTAGCTTCTTCGTTGGTAGCAGCCGTATTTTGTTCTGAAATTTCTCTACTTTACTTTTGAGTGCTTCCAGTAGGCTTTTCACGGACAGCTTAAGCTCAAAGTGGCAAAAACAAAAACAAAACATTCTCCCCAATCCAATCACAAATCTGACCACTGCGATTAAAGTATATGTGAAAGGCTCAAGGATTATTAACTGACAGTAAGATCAATGAAACAATGGAAGTCCAAAATATGGTAGGGGTACACACTGGGATTAAGTGAAAGAATAAAAGGTGGCATCTCAAAGCGGTAGGGGTGGATTAATCAACATAATGTATATATGTATGTAGACCTATGGTAGAAAAGACAAATTGGTTGCAAGATTCACTCCGTACCTCAACTGAAAGTTTTTGAGGAAAACACTGGAGAATTCCTTTATCACATCAATTACAACCCCAAGTCCAGAAATCATAAAACAGCTGATTGATCAATTCAACTCTATTAAGAAAACTGACTAAAAAGAAAAATACAAGAGCTGGGTGATGGTTACTACAGCTTTCACCTTAGTTATTCATTAAGCTAGTCAATTATTTTGTGCAGTTTAATTTGTTTTATTTTATAATAAAGGCTTTAAAAAAACACCATATGGAAAGTTAAAAGACAAATTGGGAAAAATATTTATATTTCGTATATGAACAAAGGATTAATTTTCCCCAAACATAAAGATTACCTCCTGGAAACTGCTAAAAATACCAACAACCCAGCAGGAAAATGAAGCATGGACACAGTTCCCATCACAGGAAATACAACTGGACCTTCAAAAATTAAAAGAGGGTTGGTCTCACTCCTGTAAAGATAGAGGAGGTTTTTAAAAATCTGAAAGGTCATTTCCTGGAGTTCCCTTCCTAGAGTTCCCTTGAAAATCTAAGTCAAATCTTTTTTACTTTCTGGCTTAAAACCTGTCAAGGACTGCCTATCTACTCAGGTGTTTGTGTTTTTTATTGACATGGAATCATGCTGTCCTGATCTGTTATCCATGTTTGGTTTTTTTTCCTACATCAAAATCAGTTTTGAGAATCTAGTGAAACTGAAGCACCTATTTTTTGCCCTTCCCTGCCACTAGCTGGATAGTATTGCATCTTGTAAAGAAACTGCAGCTGATATATCCACGAGGATGTTCTGGTTATTTACTAATATGAACTAACCTAACAACTTTGCCCTCTGCCCCACATGACTGTGTCCTAGGAGAATACAAGCCTAGAAGTGGTTTCACAGTAGTGACTTTCAACATTACTCAGTTTGCCTCTTCAAACTTTCACATCTAACAAAGCTGAAAACATGCAAACCAGAGAAATTTTAAGTAGTAGGGATTAGCTGGGAATAGGGGCAGGGGCAATCTGTGAAGGAGGAAGGCCTGACATAAGGTAGCCAGCCACATGAAGGAACAGCTGCGCTCACTCCTCTGTCTCTGGTCACAGGTCAAGCAGACTCAGGCTCCAGCTGCTTGAGTTTTTCCTGGAGCCCCCGGAGCTGGCTTCGACCCCAGTCAATGCGGATCTGAAGGGTGGCCATGTCTGCAGCCAGCTGCAGGCCTAAATGAAGAGATACGATTGTCACCATGGTATCTGTGATGTGACACATGACTCAGGGGACATCCCCAGGGACTGGAAAGTCCCCAGAACTCTGGCCTCCATGCTATTCCTAAAATATTCCAGGAAGAGCCTTGCATTGGCTACTTCAGAACTTCACTAGACACACAAAATTCTACCTCTTCAACAGACCTTGACCCCCTTACTATCACCCATCAAGAACTAAAAATTCACAGATCATAACACTGTTGCATGCCCTCATTTCCTTCCTTCTTTCCTTCATTATCACAGTACTTCACTGTTCTCTCCCTCTATCTGTATTCTCTGCCTCCAAGAGTGCTCCACATCCTGGATCCACATCGAGGTGGCTTTTGCCTGACGCCTCTATTGAGTCATCTGGGTCCTCCATGCTGCCTAGTCCACTGGCCAGTTCAGTCTTCAGCCTACCTGCCTAACAGCAGAGCTGGCCATGCATCTGATCACCTCTCTCCAGGAAGCACTTTCTCTTCTTTTCTTCTGGGGTCCCTTACCCTCTGGGTGATGCTCCTGCCTCACCACTGCTTCTCAGTCTCCTCATCTGGTTTCTCCCCTATCTCTTCCCATCTCCTCTCCACACTCCAAGGCCCTCTGCTGATCTCAGCTTTAATGCCGTGTGTCAGCAGCTTGAGAATTTAAACACAGTGTCATGCAGTGGGCTCCCAAATTGCTCTTTCAAGGCCAGGTCTCTTCCAGACTCCAGATTGCATGTGCCCAGACACCTGATCAAAGTCTCCACCACCCAGCACTGGGAACATACTCACACCCAACTCCTGACTTTACCCTTGGCTGCAACTCTGCAGCCCTCTCACAACAGGTGAGGGCAGCTTCAGTCCCCAGGTGGTCTGGCTCAGGTGGAATCCCCAGGTGGAATCTAGGGGCTCGTTCTTCACTCCTTCCCTTACTCTCAAATTGATCTATCAGCAAATCCTATGGCTTTTACTCTCAAAACATACAGGTTCCCACCACTTACCCCCTCCTTCACAGCCTTCACCTGTATCTCAAGCATGACTGCTCCCTGGCACCTGCTTCCTCCCTTTGCTCTTGTCTTTTCCCACCCAGTACCCACAACTTTCCTACCACTCTGTGGGTCCAGTGCACCTCCCTCTGTTCAGAGCCAAAGTCCTCATCAGGGTCTACACAGCCTCAAATCACCTGGCCCAGCCCCCCTCTGACCTCAGCTCCTGGCATTACCCCCTGCATTAATTCCACTCCAACCTATTGGCTTCCTCTCTGCCATCTCAAACACCATCTCATCTCAAAGCATTTGCCCTGGCTAATACTTCTGCCAACAACACCAATCCCCCAGATCACCCACAAAGTTCTCTCCATCTCTTCAGAGAAGCCTTTCCAGACCACCCTTCATAAAATAACTCCTCTAGCCCACTCCTGTCCAACTCCATCCACTGTACCCTATCTTATTTTTTCATAACAATCCCCTACCTGGTATTATGTATAGGGCTTACTTATTTACTTGCATGTTCTCTTTCTCCCCTCAACAGAATAAACATTCCATGAGGGGTGTTTATCCCTTTTGTTTCCTGCTGTATCCCCAGCACCTAGCATGGGCCTGGAACACTACCAACAGCCAGTAAATGCTTTCTGAAAAAACAGCAGGTGTACAATAAAAGTCTGCTGGAGAAAACCTGGAAAATCCTTTGCAGATTAAGCCCAGCTGTGGCATGGCATTAGTGCTCAAGTCCTTCCAGGAGATAGAGGATCCACTCACCCTCCCGGAAGCTGGCTTGGGCCTGCCGTAGACTGTGAGGAACCAGGATTCCAAACCAGTTCAGAGGGTCCCGGAGGGCTGGGAAGGACTCTGGCTCTGGGGTTCTGGTGAGACCCTTGCGTCTTCGCAAAGCTGGGTAAAGAAAGACTGGAGGTTGGGGGTTTCATTAAGTATTCCTTGTCTTCTCAGTGACAATGTTGAACTTGATCTGAGCTCATGATCCTGACAAACACCGATGGTTGGAAAATTCCCCCAACCATTTATGTTCCAGAAAGCAGCTTACCATAAAGAACAACCCTTCCCTTTGTGACTCAGATGAGAGGCCCTGACCACTCTTTCTCAAGACTCTCATAACATCAGCAAATGACTCCCTTGTTAACCTGTGACAGAACCACACACTGACTTTTCTCATTTGCCTGAACATGCTGAAAGGCCAGACAGAACTTCCAACTCCCCATTCCTCTCATAAGTGACTGCGATTAGAATTTTGTCCCTCTAAGGTAGTTAGACATATAAACATTTTCTGTCCAACTGACTGAAACCTACCCTGATTGCAAAACTATCACAACTGTAAAGGACCTTATCTAAAACTTGTCTACCTTGCTGAGACATTCTGATCCTCCAATCTGGGCTGCTCTCTCCATCGCAACACCCTTAATAAAATCATCTCCTCAATTATCCTGTACATTTTGTTTTTGACATCGGGAGGGCGCCCAGGCGGGAAGAAGCGGGGGAGGGAGGGGGACCCACCTGCCTCTCGGGGCCCCACCTCCTCTGGAGTCTGGGCGCTGGCTCTCACCAGCCAGAACCTCTGGAGTCCGTCCTGGGCCTCGCTGAAGAACGAGAAGGTAGGATCGACATTTGGAGGCCCCAGCCTGGACCCCTGCCCGCCTACCCGCTCCAGCATGCACAGCTCCTCACCTGGTGTAGACGCAGACCTGGGGCTCCATGAGGGAGGCATACTGCAGGGGACCTACCGATTTGGCACCCATAGAGTAGCGAGCTTTGGAAAGCGAGAGCCAGCCCTGAGATGAGAGGAGAGCGGTGAAACTCAGTTTACCTCCGCATGCCCTCTCGCCCTCCCTCCCCAGCCTCCCACCTCCTCCACCCGAGCGTTCAGTGCCGCCCGCTTCGCCTCCAGTTCTTCCAGGTCCTGGAACAGCTGCAGAAGCAGCGAGTCCAACTCCGCTCGTAGGTCCGGCGCAGCCATGGGCCCAAGGAACTGAGGTCTGGAACCAGCCTCTTCCCAGGTCGTCCAATCGCCGTTCGCCATGCCGGCATGACAGCCAATAGGCCCCCGAGACCCACCTTCAAGGGGCGTTCCCAGACGTGGGCCTAGTCTCCGGATGTTTAGAGGTAGCCGGGTAGTCGCTTCTAAAGGCAAGCGCGCCTAGAGCAGCGGCACAGAACTGATTAGTAGGTTTCTCTGAAGTAGGCCAGCCTACCGAACAGTCGGCTAGAATTATGGGTAGTTCTGAGTTCCTCCTGGTGATGGCTGCATTTTAAAAGTAGGGCTATAGCTGTGGCGATGGACGAGGCAGCTATTTAAGGGAGGAGGGGTTTCAATTCCCGGAACCCGGAGGCGAGCCTCTGGTCTACCGCTGTGCTGCTTTTACAGTTGCTGGGTCATTTAAGGCCGCCAGTTATGAATATTTTAGCAGTTCGTCATCTTAAAATTGGGCATCCTGCACAGCAGTGACAAGTAGCGAAGCCACACACTGACATCTTTATTAACTGCTATCCTATGGGACAACACTTTGACGCCAGCCTACTGGCTGCTCCAGTGAGCATGCGCTTCCAGACTGGCCAATTGCCTTGCGACTTCCACCCCACCCTTCACCATCTTAACATTGGGCGCTTCTAGCAGTAGCAGAGTCTAGTGAAGCTTCTGGCTACCTTCTTGGTTGAGGGCAGAATCGAGGGTGGAGCTGCGCGGGCTGAGCCGGCAGATTCTCCGGGACCCACGTGGAAGCCGCGCTCAGAATGGTAGGAGGAATGTTTGAGCTCCTGCTTTTGATGTTGGGGGTTCGCGGAGGGCTGGGGATGGTTCCTGGACTTGGGGCGGGTGGCCCTCGGGGCCCGGGCGTGTGTGGCTAGAAAGAGGTCGACCGGACCCGCTGTTCCCTAGCTGCGTCGTGAGGCCCGCCTTCGCCGGGAGTACCTGTACCGCAAGGCACGCGAGGAGTCTCAGCGAGCCGCCCAGGAGAAGAAAGAGAAGGTTCGGCGCGCGCTCGAAGGTATGCCTGTCGCCGCCCCTAGGCAGCTCTAAATGTGGCATTATGAAGACCATTGGTTTGCATTTTAAAACCCAACGGAATAAAACCCTTTTATTAGCATTTCTTAGTGTGGCTAAGAACACTGGGCCGTTTTCCTTGCCTGTTGGGTCTCCTGTTGGTTTGCAGATGCCCCTTCCGTGATGGTATGAATTACTTACATTTGTGCTGCAGTATCCAGATTTTACAGTTTGCCTATTAATTTTGTTTACAGCGTGTTCTTACAAAATTTAAATTCTCTACGTTGTCCTATAGATATTTTACCTCCGCCCCCACCGCCCTTATTTTTCTTTTTGCTACCTTCAGTACAAGGTAGCAAGAATATCTCACTGTCTTAGCATTGTTATGATTCCCTTGCTTTTTAAAACTGTTAAATTGCAGAGAACTTAATTTTGAGTTGTTAATTAGGATCTAACTTTGCAGTATTTTCTCCACTTTTTTTAAAAAAGTATTTTCTAGGGGCGCCTGGGTGGCGCAGTCGGTTGAGCGTCCGACTTCAGCCAGGTCACGATCTCACGGTCCGTGAGTTCGATCTCACGGTCCGTGAGTTCGAGCCCCGCGTCGGGCTCTGGGCTGATGGCTCAGAGCCTGGAGCCTGTTTCCGATTCTCTGTTTCCCTCTCTCTCTGCCCCTCCCCCGTTCATGCTCTGTCTCTCTCTGTCCCAAAAAATAAATAAAAAACGTTGAAAAAAAAATTTAAAAAAAAAAGTATTTTCTATGCTTTTTATTTGTCATACTAATGAAGAGTGTTACACATGCCTAATGGGAAGTCCCGTATCCATCCCTATTTTCTTGGTTCTTGTGTGGATGGAACTTTGTTTTCTATTCTGATAGTACTTTAGCTTAATACCTCTAATTATTTTAAATTCACTTTGATTTTCTTATGGTTTAGACAGAAAGTGCATATGTTTTGTATATATATGTTTGCATTAAGCATTGTGTTAAACACTTGTGACCTATCTGCCCACATTAGAAATTAAAAATGCTCAATATATTGAAATTCAAGAATATTTACCCCAACTCAGATAACCACAACATTGAATAGTGTTTGAAAATAAACCGTTTCCTTGTTTTTCTTTGTGCTTATGTCATGCTTGTTTGTATCCCTAAATCATATGGCTCGATTTTTAGTTTTAAATGTAATTTTTAGGTTGTATGTATTCTTTCACAGCTTTATATTTTCACTCAGCATTGTTTCTAAGATCAGTTGAGTGTAGTGGGGGCTCCCATTTCCCTGTGCTTGGCATTGAGCTTATTTTTAGTTTGGGGCAGTTAAGAACAGCACTGCTGCTATGAACCTTTTCTTCCATGTGCAAGAATTTCTCCAGGGCATATTGGAAAGAAATCTTGGGTCCAAGGGCATGTTCATATTCTGTACTTCAGCTCTGCCTACAGCCCAGCCCTTCTGCCAAGTACAGCTTTAGTTCACAGAAGAAACCTCTGACCCAAAGCATCAAGATTAGCAGTTTGGGGGCACTTGGGTGGCTCAGTCGGATTTAAGCATCCGACTTCAGCTCAGTTCATGATCTCACAGTTTGTGAGTTCCAGTCCCACCTCAGGCTCTACACTGAGTATGCAGACCCTGCAAGATTAGCAGTTTTGTTATCAGAGGGTTTCAGGATTTCTGGTCCACCTTTGTACAGAGCACTCTGGGTTTATTCTTTAAAAAAATTAGTTTGTTAATTTTTTTCTAATTACAAAAACAGTGTATACTTGCGATTAAATATTTTTAGAAAGCCCTCAAACCATGAAACTCAGGAACAATAAACAACCTGTAACCATTGTTAACGGGTTGGCATGTAAGACAAATCGTTTTGTCTTTCCCTTCCTCCTGCCAAAAAATCATGAATCTTCTTTCTGCACAGAAAGGAGTGAAAAGGTACTTTTTCATCAAGTCTGTACAGTTTTTGTAAGCCACGGTGTTGTTCAAATGAAGAATCCATGCTTGTGTCTTACTCAGCCCCTCTGTCTTCCCCCTGCAGAGAACCGCCTGATTCCTACGGAGTTACGCAGGGAGGCTCTGGCCTTACAAGGATCCCTGGAGTTTGATGATGCCGGTGGTGAAGGTGAACTTTCCTGACACTGGGCCAGCTTTTCTCCCTGCACTTGAGCCTGCTGGCTTCCATGTCATTCCTCAGACACCTTGAAGGAAAGGCTCTGCAGCTCCTGCTCCCAAAACTCTCCCAAGTGCCCTCATGGCTCTGCACAGATGGCACCTCAGAACAGCTCTTCTTTACTGCTCCCCATTCCATTTATGTAACACATACAATATTATCCCACTTTCTGTTTTGTCTGTTGTTTCCCTTACTAGAATAGGAACTCTGCCAGGGCAAGACAGTGTCCATTTTGTTCACTGCCATGTCCCCAGCTCCTGTACTTCCTTGGCATCCGCATGTTTCATTCATTGCGTTATTCAACAGATATTAAAGGTATCAAAGACATTATGAATTTTTGTTATGAGGGAAAGGAGTCTGTTACGTTTGGCCTAACAATCTGGACTTGTGCTAGTATGGTAGCAACTAACCCTGTGTGATAAATATAATTAAAATGAACTAAAATTAAATCATATTTAAAAACTTAGTGCCTCAGTCACACTTGTGTTTGTGATCAGTGTGGCTGGGGAGCCACCTTCCTGCCCAGTGCAGGTGTGGAGCATGTTCATTGTTGAAGGTGTTACCAGAGAGTGTTGCTCTAGACAGATTCACGCTCCCTCAAGTTAGCGTTTTACTGCCCAAGACGATGTCCTGTTCTTGCCCCTCATGCTCCTGACAGGTGTGACCAACCACATGGATGATGAATATCGATGGGCAGGGGTTGAGGATCCTAAGGTCATGATCACTACCTCTCGAGATCCCAGTTCTCGCCTGAAGATGTTTGCAAAGGTACCAGTAGTGGGGAGCAAGTGGGAGATGCTAAGGCACTAGTGGCCCCAATCCTAATTGGAGTGTGTTCGTGTGCAGGAGCTGAAGTTGGTGTTCCCGGGTGCCCAGCGCATGAACCGTGGCCGGCATGAGGTGGGGGCACTGGTGCGAGCCTGCAAAGCCAACGGGGTCACTGACCTGCTGGTTGTCCATGAGCATCGAGGCACACCTGGTAAGTCTGGTGGGCAGGCACCAAGGTGTCTGCTGGGGTTGCTGGGGTGACCGTCTGAGAGCAGAGCGGGTCTCTGATGGCCTGCCTTGCCCCGCCAGTGGGGTTCATTGTCAGCCACCTGCCCTTCGGCCCCACTGCTTACTTCACACTGTGCAATGTGGTCATGCGGCATGACATCCCCGACCTGGGAACCGTGTCAGAGGCCAAGCCTCACCTCATCATGCATGGCTTCTCCTCCCGCCTAGGCAAGCGGGTGAGTCTGGGTCCAAAGGGTGAGGGCTGGGGGCAGGGAGTTCCAGGCTGGGCATTTGCCGCTCTCCTTCCCTCTGACCCAGGTCTCTGACATACTCCGTTACCTGTTCCCTGTGCCCAAAGATGACAGCCACCGGGTTATCACCTTTGCGAACCAAGATGATTATATCTCCTTCCGGTGGGTCCATGGGCTGGCCTTAGAATGGTGTCCTGACTTTTGTGTCCCTCTGCTGTTTATTGTCGACCCACATCTGCTCCCTGTCTCCCCTCATCCCTGCCCTGCCTCCCCTCGCCCCAGGCACCACGTATATAGGAAGACCAACCACCGCAGTGTGGAGCTGACTGAGGTTGGGCCTCGCTTTGAACTGAAGTGTGAGTTTGGGGCTTTACTCTACTTCTGGTCAGGGATGGGGAGGGAGTCTGGCAGTATAGATGACAATGTTCCAATCTCCATCCCCCCAGTGTATATGATTCGCCTGGGCACGCTGGAGCAGGAGGCCACCGCAGATGTGGAGTGGCGCTGGCACCCGTATACCAACACCGCACGCAAGAGGGTCTTTCTGAGTGCTGAGTGAGCCCACTCACTGATCAGGACATAGACCTGGACCCAGGAGGAAGGGAGGGGTCAGAATAAAGTCTGTGTGCCACACTACCACATTTGTCTGTGTGTGGTTAGGACAAGCCCACTGTCAGGCTGAATGTGAGGGACAGTGTTCCTGGGGTCCCCTCGGGGGGAACCTGACAGCTCAAGGACATTTTGAGGCCTGATATTGATATTGTGTGTAGGACGAGGCAGGCCCAACCTGCTGGCTTGTACCTTAGCCATAGGGAAGGTTTGGGAGATTTGATGCTGCTGTGACTGGAAAGTCAGAGGCCCTCTGAGAACTCATCTCAGACTGGGGATGGACAGTGGTACGGGTTTTACACAGAATGTTCGTGAAGACCCGACAGCATGCACCCAAGCAACAACCTTCGGAGAGAAATCCATCACACCACAATGGGGCGGCCTGAGAACAAGTCAGGCAGGGGCATGGAGAGTGGAGAGCTACAGGGTAGCGTGAAGCAGCAGGGGCCATCTGGATGATCCATGTAAAGACCCTGAGCTGGACATACTCATGAGGGTCCCAGGAGCAGGAGTGGCCTAGTGGGGGGGGGGGGGCGTGGGGGGGGCTGGCGATAGGACCTCACATGATGTCTGTGGCTTTTGGCTCCACTCGTGAATCCAGAGGCTTCTGGAGCCTCTCACCTTGCCATCGCCTCAGTTCATGAAGAATATGCCACTAAAATTTTTGTGTAAGTTACAGAAATTCCAAAATATATACAAAGCAGAGTAGTATAATATTTTATGTTAGTTTCCAGGGGCTGCTGTCACAAATTGCCATAAACTGGGTGGCTTAAAACAACAAATTCATTTTAATTCTGGAGACCAGAAGTCAGATTAAGGTGTTGGTTGTATTCTCAACCCCTCCTCGGTTACTTGCCTCTTCCAGCTTCTGGTGGCTGCCAACAATCCTTAGTGTTCTTTGGCATGTGATTGCAGCATTGTGGTTTCTGCCTTTGTCTTCACATGATCTCTACTGTCCGTGTCCTTTGTGTGTCTTTTATACGGACACTTGTCATTGGATTTATAGCCCATGAGAAAATCAAGGTTTTTTTTAACATTTGTTTTTGAGAGAGAAAGAGTGTGAGTTGGGGAAGGACAGAGAGAGAGAGACACATCCAGAGCAGCTCCAGGCTCAGCTGTCGGCACAGAGCCCAACGTGAGGCTCGAACCCACAAGCCATGAGATCATGACCTGAAGTCCAACGCTTAACCGACTGAGCCACCCAGGTGCTCCTTATTTTTTAATAGCACAGAAGTCTCACTTAGAACAGCCGCCTTTGTGCTGGGGGCCAATTTTCAGCCAGGGACAGGCAGAAAATAAGATACGAAGTATTTAGTATTCCCTTCATTGTGAGTTCTTCTGTGCTAAAATTAGCCTTCAAGTGTAATTGTTTCAAGTTCCTGAGAAAATCCACACAGGCTCACTGGTAGTGGAGGGCTTTAGACCATTGGGTGTGTGTTTTGCTTATCAGCTGCATTCAGCCATTGGGATGAGTGGTATAAATGTTAACTTTTGTAATGTTAAGTATCCAAGTTAATGGAGGATACTCAGTAAGCAGGGAGGCATCCTCCTCCGGCCTGCCATGTCTGCAAAAGGTACAGGGAGATACAGAAAACAGGAAGGGCAGGAGCCCCACACCTACTGAAGGTGAGGCATGAGGACACGCAGTTGTTTGAATGGCACCCCCTCCCTCTCCCCCCCCCCCCCCCCCCCCCCCCCCCCCCCATTATGGCCACAACCTAATTCTTGGTGCCTATGAATATGACCTTATTTGGAGAAAAAAAGGTCTTTGCAGATGGGGGGATAATCAAGTTAATGTTAAGTCCTGTTTTCCCTGGAAAAACATACTGTGCTGGTGGAAGAACCTGTGAGTAAAGTCTTTTCAGATGGCAGTTTGGTAGGTTTCTTAGCATTTAAAATGTGGTTCTACTTCTTGAGTCACCATGCTAGGGTCAAAAATGGTCCCTGTGATGCTGCTGAGGACAATTTAGGCCTGACTGTTAGGCCTGGACAGCTTTACCTGGATGTTTGACCAGGGGAGCTTGTAAAGTTTGTCAATAAAATAACAGTAGTTAAAATAAAGCAAGAGACAAGTTAGGGGAAACGTCCACTGTAGCACTTGTGTATTGCACAGATAATATCTGAGGACTCAGGGAGCCTTCAGTTTGAGGCATGGTACAGCAATTAAAGGGATATTTGTGCATCTTTTGTTTGACTTTTCTAGAAAATCAGTTAATAAATTATACAGTTTTGAAATGTGAAGGACAAGAGAGGAGGCAGAAGTGGGTGTGGGCTTTTGGTGCCTACCATTTGGAGCATCTCTCCTGGCCAGGGAGCAGTGGCCCAGGGAGAACAGAGGGCTGTTGGGCTCAGGAAACGCCCTGTTTCATGTCTGCAACTGATCTTCATGTTCTAGTATTCTTCTCAATATTCAGAAATAATAACATGTGGGGAATCCAAGTCAAGGGCATGAGAGATCCGTGCTCTGTTTTTGTAACTTTTATATATAAACGTGACATTTCAGAAGTAGAAGTTTTAAAGCAATTATTGCTAATCTTATTGAATGACAATATTGGAGTTCCTTTAGAAAATGTTTCGTTAGTTTTTAGAGACATCGTGACGTATTTGGAGGTGAAATATCAGCTCCATAACTTGCTTGAAAATGCTTCAGGAGAGGGGGGGAAAGTAGCTAAAACAAAATACTAATTGTCATATTTAGCAGAGGGTTTGTTACATTCTTTCTAATTTGTTGTATGTTTCAAATTTTTCACAGTAAAGGCTTAAAAGGAAAATAATTAAAAATGCCTTCTGTTGTTATTTAAAGCATATTTTTAAGTTATTGAAAAGCTTCAAGCAAAAAAATTGAGGTGTGAAAATAAAAGGTAACTTCAGAATCAATGAGGTTAATAGGCCAGCAGGGGGTGTTCTCACCCCCAACCATTCCTTGTTAACTGCAGACCCAACTGGAAGAAAAACCTCTTAAGTCCCTTGCTACTTTAGCTGCTGGTTTGCTATTCCCCACCATCCTCTTGCAGGAGAAAGGTTTTCTACTACCCCCTGGCAACAGCCCAGCCATTGAGAGACAGTCACAACTCAGCCAATGAAAAGCCACTATACTTTGAACTCCCAGTTTATTCGCATGGACTTTTTGTTTAGAACACCCCTCCCAACTTCCCATTTTCCTCTATAAAAGAGCATTCCATTCCTCTCCTTTGTTCTCTGGACTTTCCTATGGTTTTGCCCAATCGTGCTTGTCTTGGATTACAGTTCCCTACTATTCCCAGATAAACCCATTTTTTGTTGGTAAATAACTGGCAGTTTTAAAGTTACCAAAAGAGACATGCTAAACAGTAATGGTGATTGAAAGCCATGGAGAGGGCCAAGGGGTGGGGAAGAAGAGGAGAGAGAATGTATTCGTTTTTCACTTCTAGGCATTGTTCCACCAGACTGGCTGCAGTGAACATCATGCCCACTTTCCCTTATTCTCCCTTATTATTTCCTTAGGGCACATTCCTAGAAGTGGAATTTCTGATCCAAGGAGATGCATAAGTGTAGTAAGCCTTTTGATATTTGCTACCAGAAAGTTTGTAGCAGGAGACCATTTTTATCAGATTGGCAAAGATGAAAAAGTTTCAGTATGGTTCATACTGTGGGGAATTGAGTTTTGAATAGATGCAAAGCTTTAGGGGGAAATTTCATAATTTCGACTTTGATCCAGTGGCCAGACCTGGGAATGTGCCTGACCTGCACACCGTGTGCACAGTGGTCACCATGCAACCATCTGCACCATTGTTTCTAGCACAGGGAAACGGCCTAAGTGTCCATCAGTAGCACTAAATTTACATAAATTAGGATGCATCCACAGAGTGAAACACTGCAGCCACAGAAGAACACCTCAAGATAGAGTGTTAAGTAAAAAGCATGGTGAGATGCCATATGTGATATGTTACGGGTTTGCAAAATAAAGGGCAAGGGCCCTGTGCTGGTGTATGAACTGCATTATCTCTAGGAGGGTAAACATTCAAATGGTGCCTTGCAGAAGGGAACCAGTGCACTGGGATCCAGGGAGGAGGGAGACTTTACTTCAGTGCTGTGAGTAGACATTTCATTTACTTCTTGACCACTTTTGTGAGCTCCCTTCTGGGTTCCCTGCCCACTTTTCTTTGGAGTGCAGGAGAGGCACTTTGATTTGTTCTGATTGGCTTCAGGAGTTTAAAGATGTTGGAAATACTTCTCTAAAACTGACACTTCTTTAAGTTGTAAAAGGAACACACCCTCATGTTTAAAAAAAATACAGAAGTGCACAGTGAAAAATAAGCCACCTTCCTACTCCCCATGACCCCAACAATCCAGCCGTATTCTCCAGAAACTATTGACTATTGCCTTAAAATATATATATATTATTAATATATATAATATATATGTTATATAGATATATGTTATATATTTTTAATATATATAATATATATGTTATATAGATATATGTTATATATTATATAGATAGATATAGATGTGTTATATATATATAATCTATCTACCGTCTATATACCTATATATCTATATATAGACATATATATCTAGGGATCATGCTGTGCACACCATTCTGAACCTTGGTGTCTTTCCCTTTAATAATCTCTTTAGGATACCTCTAGGTTATCAAAGATACCCAGTACACGTGAATCCACTTCCTATTTAATGGATGCACACTCAAGTGTTTCCTATTTTTACTCTCAGAAATCTTGCTTCAAAACATCATTGAACATACTTCTGTGTACACTTACGTGAGTATATCTGATGAATAAATTCCTGTGAGTGGAATTTTGTCTTTAAAATGATCATAGATGCTGCTGAATTGTCCCCCAAGAGGCTGTCCCAGCCACTGTCAGTAGGTCTGTTTCTGTGTCCTTGCCAGTACTGAGTACTATCAGACTTATCAACATAAGCCAAGCTCTAGATGCAGAATGATTTGTAGTTCTTTAATTATGACAGGTGTTGTGCATCTTGTCAAATACTATTGGGAATTTGTATGTGTGTGTTCTCTGTGAGCT